TTGATCAAGGGTGGTGAAGTTTGGGTGCAAGGGTAAGAAACTCCACTGGCGGAGTGTCCGCCCGTAGAGTGCGGACAGTCCGACGGTGCCACCAACGCCCTAGACAGAGAAGACGAAGGTCACTGTATGTGACCGGATGCTGGTCTCGGTTGGACCAGAGCGTCCGTCGATGGCGATAGAGGCGCGCATTTGATCTTCGACCGACGCCGGGCGCTAAAAGTGATCGGACGTCAGGCGAGTGCGTCCGGTCGATCTTGACGTCTGTTGACATGAGGCGCCTGAGAGAGACATTGTGTGACCGGACACTAGGTGAGTCCGGTCGGGCAGGACTGGACGCGTCCGGTCGTGAAATATCGCGTTTGGAAACTTACTGGAAACGAGCGTCCGGTCACTTTCTAACTGACGCGTCCGGTCATCTCTTGACCATTGAGATCGGGTGATCGGCATTTGAAGCCGATGACACGTGGCGAAGATCTAAGGACCGGACGCTGGGGTCCTGCGTCCGGTCAATATGACCGGAGCGTCCGGTCGGCCCGTGTTCAGCCCAGTGAAGGGGTACGACGGCTCTATTTCATGGGGACTTCTATTTAAGCTCCATGGCCGGCTCAAGCTCACTCTCTTGGCCATTTTTATTGACATAGCAATCTTGTGAGCTTAGCCAAAGCCCTCCCACTCATCTCCATCATTGATCCATCATCATTGTGAGATCGAGAGAGAATCCAAGTGCATTGCTTGAGTGATTGCATCTAGAGGCACTTGATATTCGTGTTTCGCTGTGGGTTTTGCTTGTTACTCTTGGTGGTTGCCACCACCTAGACGGCTTGGTGCAGCGGTGGAGGATTGGCACAAGTTGGTGATTATTCGTGGCCGTCTCCAGTGATTGTGAGGGGAGTTGTACCTTCCCCAGCGGAGTGTCGAAAGGTAACTTTAGTAAATTGCTTGTGTCATTGAGTTACCTCACTTGTGGGTAGGTTCTTGCGGTGTCCAATCGTGTGGACGAGATTTGTGAAACACGTCTTAGCCGCCGAACCACCAAGTGTTGGTCGACACAACGGGGACTAGCGTGTTGGCAAGCACGTGAACCTCGGGAGAAAATCGGTTGTCTCTTGCCATTTGTATTCTCCCGGTAATTGGTTTAATCTTCATCTTGTGATTGGTTTATTCCTCTACACGATGGTATAATCACCCTACTCACTCATTTACATTCTTGTAAACTAGTTGTAGCAAGCTCTTTAGTGTAATTAGAATTGATAGCTTGCTTTGTTGTTTCAAGTTCATCAAGTGGAGCTCTTTAGTGTAGCAAGTGTGAGAGCTCTTAGTGAGTAGTAACATAGCAAATTGTATGGTTAGTGATCATAGCAACTAGAATTGTTGGATAGGTGGCTTGCAACCCTTGTAGAGCTAGAGCAAGTTTACATTATGCTATTTGTTATACTAATCAAATTACTTTAGTTGATTTGTAGATTTTTAAATAGGCTATTCACCCCCCCTCTTGCCATATTAGGACCTTTCAGAGTAGACTTATAACCTTCTTCGCTTGGTATGTGTTGGCGGGAACTGTGTTCGGCCGTGGGAGCAACCGTGACATGAGGCACAACAAATCATCGAAACTGCAGTCTGACCAGCCGTACTTAGCCTTCAGGATGAGTAGCTCAAGCACAAAACGTAGCAGTGTGAAGTATGTCGGACAACCCTTCTCAGCATCATACACAGTCTTCTTCGATGCTTTTGTCGCCCTCTCAAGATTTTCTAGACCTCTCTTGCTCTTTTTTAATATTTCTGGTCCAAAGGCCCCAAGCATTTCGTCCAAGTTGTCACCGTCATCTGCATCCCCCTCACGTGCTTCGCCATCATTGCTGGCACCACCAGCATCATCACCACCTTGTTCATTGCCAAACCCACCACCTTGTTGATTGCCATAGTCACAATCCATTTGTTGCTCAAGATCGTCTGTGAATCGGGACAAGTATGCTTGGGTTTTAGCTTTATCAGCTAGATCATCATCGCTGTCATCAACAACCACTGTTTCACCATGATGAATCCACACTGTGTAGTCCAGAACAAATCATCTTCTAATCAGATGTTTTTTTATGGTACTCACATCTTGAAATGCAATAAGGTTCTTGCAATCTTTGCAGGGACAAACAATCGTGTCACTATTCTCTTTCAACGTCACTGCATGCTTCTCTGCGGCTTTGATGAATTTGTTCACCTCATCACGGAAAAGAGCGTCGTTTCTTAACGAACCATACATCCAAGAGTTCCTGTAGTCCATCTTATAGAAACAAAACAACCAAAGAAAGAATATTACTTGAGAATAATTGTATATACCTGAGACACGCACCATGGTACTATAGGATAGTTAATTAATTGACTATTAATGCATAAATATTTCAAAATATAAATTAATTAGTTTAAATAAACAATTTCAAAGAAAACAATTAGCAACATTTAATATTTCATCCACTACCTTTCATGCAAACTCCATTCCAATTTTATTGTAGAGGATAATTAATTAATGACCTATTTATCCATAACTAATTAAAAACACACATTATAGAAAGGAATCAAAATAAATATTAAATGATAATTAGTAGCCATGGTAGATGATATTTTACACATTAGCAACAATTAAAATCTTACGCATTCACCTACATGCAAACCCTAGTCACATAAAGAAAAAATTGAAAAAGAAAAAAACAAAATCCTAGATCTAGATCTAGATATAGGGTTTCATGACACATGCACCAAACTTCACTAATACTACACTAAAATCAATAAAGATGTACTAACAAAGGGTGCAATCTTACTTCCCTACCTAATTTACTCTAGTATAGTGAAAATTATGGTCTAATTTCACTCATAACTAGCTCAAGCCCCATGAAAGAGAGGGAAAACAAAAAATCAAATTATTCACTAACCAACGAATTAAACTTCAAATAAAGAGTTGGAGAAGCATTTCCTTACCTTTTAGAGCCTCTCCACCAAAGGATTTGAGATTAAAACCTTTCTCCTTAGTAGAGCAATTTTTAGGAGGAGTCTAAGGCCTCCCAACCTTTTTTGTGTAGAAGAGTGTTTCCCGAGGTGGAAGAAGGGGGTGGCTGCTATTTATTCGTGCGCCATCAGTAGGGGCGGCTGGTGATTCAGCCACCCCTACAGTCGAACAGCAGGGGCGGCTGGTGGCAGCCGCCCCTACAAATGGGCACTGCAGGGGCGGCTGATGATTGAGCCGCCCCTACAGATCAGCCTCAACTGTAGGGGCGGCTGGGCTGCTGGGGCCCGAGGACGCCCACTGTAGGGGCGCCCTCAACCCCAGCCGTCCCTACAGTAAAAATGCCCCCGTTCCTGCTGTACGAATTTGACGTAGTGACGAGCAAGGTAATCGGGGATATATATACTAGTTATTAATTTTACCTTTACCACTTGCATACAAAGTGTAGCTTAATTGGTTAGGTTTTTTATGGTGAAATATGGATAGCTTGCTCAGGGTTCAAGATGCGGGTTCTCATGTGTTTTTAATCTTATGTAACATCTAATGGTTTCTATTTTTTCAATAGTAGTAGACAACATGTTTAAATAGGGCGTGAGTCCTCTTAGTATTCATCTAGCGCTATTTTCCTAGTGGTAGGCTGAGTGCCCAATTAGGGGGTGAGTCCTCTTAATGTTCATCTATTCTTATATAAGTTTGGGTATATATAAATACACACATAAAAGAATAGGTTCACCGCATAAAAAATATATGGAAATAGCCATAATACATAGGGATAATGAAAAAAAGAAGCGGGAGAGCCAAGTGAATCGTAATATTCATGGTTCGGAAAGTGATAATAAAAGTTGTAATAAGTGCATGTACGCTAGTGTCTATGTCTCTATTGGGTTTTTTGAAAAAAAAAACTAACCACCTACCAAGACCAAAGATAACAAAATTATATAGAAGATAGATAGGTGACATGGAGTTGTATAACATTATTATATACAAGATCATCCGGCCTTATCCGGAATCAAACATGTACAACTTTAATGTCCTATGATAAAAAAAAAACATGGAATTGTTGCTATTGATTCTTCACAAAAGATATTGCACGATATAACTCTTTTAAATCGATTAAGTGTTATGCTATTTTTAGTTAAAGTGTTATGCTATATATATTCTTATTAATTGACCTATATTTGAAATGAGGGGGTATTAATTAAACTGATATAGACCTACAATTAGCACATACAGAATCTGAGGAAGGAGGACCCAACTGGCCAACTGGAAGTTAAATTCAGTAATTTAGATATTCCTTTGCTCGGATATTGGCACTTCGTCAGAACAAAAACAACCTATATGTAATGGTATGTACGTGTCAAAATATGTACGTTGGATATGCTCGTGTAAAGAAGCTTTTTTTTTTATAAAATTATATTTGGCATTATTTAATTTTAGTTTAGATGTTTTACGCTTTCATATTGGAAGCGAGAGTTTTTGTACGAGTGCCATGTCCTTGTATCTGTCACATGCATTGCTTTGCTGTTGTCAGCGTTTCAAGAGAAATATTATTCTGATTTACAAAGTACCTTACATTATTTATTTAATCATGTGTCCACATTCTCTTTTTAAACACTCAAGGCAAAGAACCTTACATTGTGCATGCCCTCGTATCTGTCACATGCATTGTTTTGCTTGTTGTCAACGGTACAGGAGAAATTATATTCGGATTTGCTTCGTTCATGTAATCATGTAGTCTTTTTCTTTTTGAGCAAAATGTAATCATGTAGTCAAACAGCCACGACCAAAGAGCCCAATAATCATGTGTACAGTCTAGGAAAGCGAAGAAAATACCCAAAGCCCATGTGAGGACGCAAAACTTTCAGCCCAAACACCAGAAGGGCTAAGAGCCCACCTCTGCGAGGCCCTATCCTCCGTTCCTCCTTTCCAAACGCCGGCGCTGCCTCCCTGAGCTCCGTCTCCTCCTGTCATGCCGCCGCCGCAGTAGAGCTAGCAAACCAAGGGTAGCATGCGCCGCGGCCTGCGTCGCGGGTTGGGCATCCTCCTCGTCCCACTCCCGTACGCACCCAGCCGCCCGCCGCCGATCTCTCTCGCGGCTCTCCTTCTCCTCCCCCGCCGCCTCAATGGCTTCTCCCGCCACTCCTTTTGCAGCTTCCCCGGCGTGGGGCGTGCCGTTGAGCAGTTCTCAGACGACGAGTATGACCACGAGTATGAGGACCTCCGGGTTCGTGCTACATCCAGCTCCGCAGGCGCACGGATGATACCTCTGCGTGACCTGCAGCGGAATTCTTTTGTTTTCCTTGTTTGTTCGCTGCCTCGGAGTGATTTCTTACTACACGTGCAGCCGTCGTCATCGGTGGCGAACATCGACGAGTGGAGGTGGAAGCTGAGCATGCTTCAGCGCAACGTGGAGGAGCAGGAGATCATCTCCAGGGACCGGAGGGACCGCCGGGATTATGACCAGATAGCCAACCTAGCCAAGAGGATGGGGCTCTACAGGTTTTGTGGTGTCATTTCTCAGCTTCTGCCTATCAACTGTCCATGCACTTGTTGGAAAAGAAACTGAATGGAACTTGAATGCTGGGTGTGAAATGGCAGTGAGATGTACGGGCGGGTTGTGGTTGCGAGCAAGGTACCACTGCCGAACTACAGGCCTGATCTGGATGACAAGCGGCCACAAAGAGAGGTTTGTCTGTTGAACTCAATGGCAAGATCATGCCTTACTTGCATTTCAATTTGCTAGTGCTGAAAGGGTGTTTATTATTTACTCTTTGTGGAAACAAACAGGTGGTGATCCCGCTGAGCTTGCAGAGGAGAGTTGAAGGACTTGTGCAGGAGCATCTAGACCGTGCACTCTTACCACTGGATAAATGTGGTGGCAACACAAAAAGTGGCTCTGAGATGGCTGAGAATGCAAACCTGGATGAGCAGCATGACTCTCTGCTTGATCGGTCAGTCATGGAGAAGATACTTCAGAGGAAGAGCATTCGGATGCGAAATTTTCAGAGAAGTTGGCAGGTATGACACACTTCATATGGTTCGTAATTTTGTACATATTAGATAAAGAAGATGGGTAATTTACAAAAGCCTTCTGCAGCTCTCATAATCAGATATGAAGATGGGTAATTTCATATTGTACTTCTAACACAGGAATCACCTGAAGGTGCTAAGATGCTGGAATTCCGGAGATCACTTCCAGCATACAAAGAAAAAGAAAAGGCTTCTAGCAGCCATTGCACGCAATCAGGTATGCAATATTGCAAAATATGCATAGACATCTATCAGGCATATAGATCATTCCAAAACATGATTAGTGACCCTTTATTATTTCTCTGACATTCTTGTAAATGGTAGGTTATTGTAATTTCTGGTGAGACAGGGTGTGGTAAAACGACACAGCTGCCTCAGTTTGTATTGGAATCAGAGATTGAGTCTGGTCGAGGGGCCTTTTGTAACATAATTTGTACACAGCCACGAAGAATATCTGCAATGGCAGTTGCAGAAAGGGTATCCACAGAGAGAGGAGAAAATCTTGGCGAATCGGTAAGTCAGAAATTTCCTTTTGTCAACTTCTGCTACTGTAGGTCATCTTTAATATGCGTAAGGAACAAGGACAAAAGTCCTTACTAGATTCTCTCTATTGTATTTGCATACGATACTAGCTTTTTTAATAGGTTGGCTATAAAGTCCGATTGGAGGGAATTAAGGGAAAAGATACACATTTGCTTTTCTGCACCAGTGGCATCTTACTAAGACGATTACTGAGTGACCGAAACTTGAATGGTGTGACTCATGTGTTTGTTGATGAAATACACGAAAGGGGCATGAATGAAGGTCAGATACCATAATTAGATTGCTCCCTTTACCCCTGTTGAGGTTATATCTTTGTTCAGTTCACCACAATTCTGTCATCGCATTGTTTTATAGATTTCCTATTGATTGTACTAAAAGAGCTGTTATCACGGCGCCGTGATTTGAGGTTGATATTGATGAGCGCTACTCTAAATGCGGAACTCTTCTCAAGTTATTTTGGAGGAGCACCAACTATTCATATTCCTGTGAGTTATTGTGTCTTTGCACCGAAGTTATCTCACATATTGTCATATCTCTGACAAAGCTGCACTGATCTTACATTTGTGTTGTTCTCTTGAATGTTAATTCAGGGATTCACACATCCAGTAAGGACACATTTTTTGGAAGACATATTAGAGAGGTCAGGCTACAAGTTGACCTCAAGCAATCAACTTGATGATTATGGGCAAGATAAAGTCTGGAAAACTCAGAGACAGCTATTGCCTAGAAAAAGGAAAAATCAAATTACTACACTTGTCGAGGTACTTCCTTTTTTCTAAACAGAAGTCAATTAATATAAATATATAATTCTTGCTAAACATTCTTCTGGTACTGTTAATGTACTATGCAGGAAGCCCTTAAAAATTCAAGCTTTGAGACCTATGGTTCCAGGACACGTGATTCTCTAGTGAATTGGAATCCTGATTGCATTGGTTTCAACCTCATAGAGGCTGTTCTGTGCCACATATGTCGCAAAGAGCGACCTGGTGCTGTTTTAGTTTTCATGACTGGATGGGACGATATTACTTGCTTGAAGGATCAACTGAAAGCACATCCTTTGTTAGGTGATCCGAATAGGGTTTTGCTGCTTGCATGCCATGGTTCTATGGCTACTTCTGAGCAGGTAGTTGCTCTAATCTGGCATATCATAGTGATGCTGATGTGACTAAATCTTACACCACATGTATTGTGCCTAAATTGATGTCATATACAACAGGTTTATCTTGTTTATTAGCTGTTTGATGTCTGTTATCCTGAGCATCCCTTCTGTGTTTCACATCTACATTTGTATTTTGTTCACAGAGGCTAATTTTTGAGAAGCCACCTCCTAATGTTCGGAAGGTAGTCCTTGCCACAAATATGGCAGAAGCAAGTATTACAATAAATGATATCGTTTTTGTCGTTGATTGTGGTAAAGCAAAGGAAACCACATATGATGCTCTAAACAATACTCCCTGCTTACTCCCCTCATGGATTTCGAAAGCTTCTGCCCGTCAGGTGAATTCTTAGCTTCTGTCTGCTTGTTTCATCTTTCATCAATAGATATTTTCTTTGACTCAAATTTGAGACTTCTGTTCAATTATACTCCCAATTCCTGACTAAAAGAACTTTGGTCCATTGGCAACACCAAGTTCAAAAGACCTATTTATTCAGCTGACATCTGGGTTATTTATGTTCATTTAATTGCAATAGTCCTTAACTCTGTTAACCCTTCCGTGTGTTTCTCTCTCTCTCAAACCTTTCATAAGGCATCTTTTTAGTCTGTTTCAGTATTCACTGGTTACAATTAGAATATCAACAATAACAATTGAAAAAAAATCCCTACAAGTCAAATTTCAACATAACCTCTTGACTCATATATGATCACACTCGACCACTTTGTTTACAGTACCATCTATTCATCTTTGTGAATCACGACAATTCTCATAGTACCCATTGTCTTAATGCAGAGGAGGGGTAGAGCTGGCCGTGTGCAACCTGGAGAATGCTACCATCTGTACCCTAAATGTGTGTATGATGCATTTGCAGACTATCAGCTTCCAGAGCTTCTTAGAACTCCTTTGAATTCATTATGTCTGCAGATAAAAAGTTTGCAAGTCGGCAGCATTGGGGAGTTCCTATCAGCTGCTCTACAGCCTCCAGCACCACTAGCTGTATGTGTTTAAATCATACCTTGACATTTCCATTTGCCCTTTTCCTCATTGCCTTGGTGTCTTTGTTGGATTTAGTGTCACATTAACTGAAAATTTTTGAGCATGTGCACAGCGTATAAATGTTTTAAGTAGGTAGTAAACGATCCTTCTTCTGGTTTTGAATCCTTTCCGCTTACACTTGGTAAAATATGTAGGTCGAAAATGCAGTGGAATTCCTGAAGATGATTGGAGCATTAGATGGAAATGAGAAACTTACTGATCTTGGTATGCAGTGTCTGTTGCTTCCCTGCATGCTCTGGGGAAACATTTAGGACTGAATATTACAAAGATTTCCTTATTCAACTTTGCAGGACGATACCTTTCCATGCTTCCAGTTGATCCAAAATTGGGAAAGATGCTTATAATGGGTGCAGTTTTCCGGTGCATAGATCCTATACTTACTGTAGTTGCTGGACTGAGTGTTCGGGATCCTTTCCTGTTGCCACAGGAAAAGAAGGATGTAAGCCTTTTAATTTCCACCATTGGTGTATATATTAGTGACTGAGTATTGGTTGCGAATCAAAATTTCCTTTAGAAAAAGTTATATTTATGAGAAAGTAGGGATATTTTAGTACTGAAAAAATGCATGTGGTGCTTTTTATTTAGCAATAAGCTTATTTGCATGAAGATAAGAAGGCTTGTTTTTCATATTATACTTTATACATTAGTTGGCAGGAACAGCAAAATCTAGATTCTCAGCAAAGGATTATAGTGATCATATGGCCCTCATTCGGGCTTATGAAGGATGGAAGGATGCAGAGAGAGAAGGGTCTGCTTATGAATACTGCTGGAGAAATTTCCTTTCTTCTCAAACACTACAAGCCATTCACTCTCTTCGGAAGCAATTCAGCTATATTTTAAAGGATTCCGGTTTGATAGACTCTGATGGGAATACAAATAACAGTTTGAGCCATAATCAATCATTGGTCCGCGGTATTATATGTTCTGGGCTTTTTCCTGGGATAGCATCTGTTGTGGTAAACAGCTGTTGACAATTACTCTGTATATATCCATTTTGTTAGGCTGGAATTAACAGTTCAACTCAATTTTTTCCTTTGCAGCATAGAGAAAACTCCATGTCCTTTAAGACCATGGATGACGGCCAAGTTCTTCTTTATGTTGTAAGTGCATAGCAGAATGTCCTGAAATGTTCGTACACAATGTCCTGTTTAGTATCTAGCTATCTAATCACCCCTGCTATCATATGCTATGATGCCTTTCAACTTGAAAGTTTCAAGTTGGCAAGTGATTCCATGCTTAGACTCCTACTGATACCAAACTAGCACTGATTTCCAAGTTTGAATTCCTGACATTATTCTTAAATTCAGAATTCAGTGAATGCAAAATATCAGACCATCCCATATCCATGGCTGGTCTTTGGTGAGAAGGTGAAGGTGAATGCTGTCTTCATCCGTGATTCAACTGGAGTATCAGACTCCATACTCTTTCTGTTTGGTGGTGCTGTAACAAAAGGAGGCATGGTACATTGTGTTTTAGAACCAATTGTTTTCTCATGGATTTTTGTGTTTATTATGTTACTGTATGCTCTCTAACTGTTATGTTTCAGGCTGGGCACTTGAAGATGCTCGATGGCTACATTGATTTCTTTATGGATCCCAGCCTGTCTGAATGCTACCTGCAACTTAAAGAAGAACTTGATAAACTTATACAGAAGAAGGTGAGTCATGCAGTCAGTTGGGTTCACTTTTCAAAGGGGTTCTCTAGATTTTTATGCATTTCCATTTTCTAGTTAACAATAACAAATAATTAGTAGAAATCTTGGTGGTATGCAATAAAATCGACAGTCTTTGAGCAGTGGTCTGTGCTCTATTTCAGTCAATCGTCCGACTGTAACCCTTGTTGTGTCATCTGATAATTTATTTGTTCATCTCCAGCTTGAAGACCCAAATTTTGACATCCACAAGGAAGGCAAGTACATCCTATTCGCCGTACAAGAGCTCGCCGCTGGTGACCTATGCGAAGGGAGGTTCGTGTTTGGCCGCGAAACAAGCCGTGCCAGGCTCCGGAACCCTGAGGACGACGGCAAGAGCAACATCATAAAGGACGGGATGAACCCCAAGAGCCTGCTGCAGACGCTGCTGATGCGGGCCGGCCACACCCCACCCAAGTACAAGACGAAGCACCTCAAGACGAACGAGTTCAGGGCCATGGTGGAGTTCAAGGGGATGCAGTTCGTGGGGAAGCCGAAGCGGAACAAGCAGCTTGCAGAGCGGGACGCTGCCATCGAGGCGCTGGGGTGGCTGACGCAGACGTCCGGCGTGAAGACGCAGGACGAGGACGACGATGACTCGCCGCCGGACCTGACTGATAGCATGCTGAAGCTGCTCACCAGACCGAGGCGGCACTCGAAGAATAACTCTAGAAAACGATGATTTTTTTTGTGGGGGTGAACATTTGCTGTGGATTGGTCGCCCACACGCACAAAAGAAGAAGAAACAGTTTTTGGTTACACGTGTGGTGGTGTTACAGCTTACCGAAAATGCTTTACTACGTTTGTACATTTTTTTATGACTGCTGTCACCGCAGAATACCTTGTACGCAGATTTTTTTCAGAGAATATGTCACGAGAATCATAACGCCAATCTAAAATTTCTTCCTTCTCTTCCCAAAAAGTTGTCTCTTCTTCCCCAGAAGTAGCTTCTACTAGCTGTTCTCCCCCTGGATCAGTAAGTCCAACCACCCTTTGCAACAAGTGTGCGGGAATGATTAGATCTCTCCGTTGAAACTTTCGGTATCAAGGTTGCTCCATACCTTGGCCTTGTCACGGATGTTGTCGGATTCACCTTAATTTTGAATGTTGTCGGATCCAACTCAATCCACATGTCTTAAGGTGAAATTTAGTTGAAGTTCTACTCCAATCCATCTCAAAACATGTGGATTGATACGAATCCGACTATATTCGAACAAGGGCTTAATGGTCTCACCATGTCCCACCTTCTATTCTAGCTATTCTAGATGGTGACCCTGTCCCCGACGGTTGGGATGAAACAATAATTGCTCTAACTAGGAAGGAAGAGAAATCAATGCCCCGACCAATCCCACTAAGGCAGCTAGACCGCAAATGGCGGAAGTCCTCCACTAAACTTGGAAGCCGAGGCCCGCGAGTACTAAGTGCGTTGCGTTAGGGTTGCTAATGCGTTGGTTCATGATCTGTCCCCGTGTTTGCATTGGAACCACAACCATCTCAACCTTCAAGATCCAAAATTCACAGGCCTCTTTTTCCTTTAGGGAGGCAAGTTGTTGGGTAATTAATTAAGGAGTGACCCCCGTAGACTTTAGGGCCCTGTTCGTTTCGCTGAAAAAACAAGCCGAAATATTGTTCCGGCTGATTTGTTGTGAGAGAAAAACACTGTTTCGACTGAAAAAAACAAGCTGAAAAATACGGATTATAAGATAAACGAACATGGCCTATTTGGCGTCTCCCCCCTCCATAGAAAGCTCCTCCGTAGGCGATCAATTCTTTTTATGAGTCATTTCTGTGCTGGAAAAGCTGTGAGGTGCTACATGGGTTGAGACGATAGCTCACATTAAACTTTTTCCTTGTAGCCCGAAAAATTGTTTCGGTTTCTGAAGTGGCTACTAGGTTGCATGTAGCATGATCCAATTGCATGCATGTGAATAGTATGAAAATACTACCCCTCACGGTAGACAAGAAGTCACAATAAGTGCATGCACGAGAGTAGATGCACGGGAACGAGAAATGATGCATACAATGGCTAGTGCGCCTGTGAATGTTGAACTTTTCTCTACCTAATACGTCTCTAAATATTGAATTGAGGCAATAGATCACAACAACCTAACAAATGCTTCATGATCATGATTTAGTAATGATCGAAGCACCCCCTTCCTTGCTTCCTACCTAAGCATTGGCAAACAATAGAACATGACCCCCTCCAATTTCCACCTAAAACCAAACAAGAACACACCAGCTTTGCGGCAGGAATACATTTGAACGGCTAGAGTCATTAGCCTTTATAACCTCCTTTCCACTGTTGGTATTGCTGTAGACCCAGAGCATTCCAACACAGGCTAACAAGTCACAACACTATGTCCGACAATTGTTACAAGCTCTTTTTAGACTAATCCCAACAACTCACCAATAATTCAACACTATCGGGAGGAGATATAACCGATATAACTCCTCTTATTTGAGGGGAGATGAGTGAGATATTGGTGGGCACAAAAAAGAGAGAGCTATTAAGATACTGTTGGAGCATGAAAAAACACTCAACTCCTCCAAAATAACAGTTTTACGGGGATGAGGAGAGGCATTGGGGAGTGCTCGAGATGGTTTGGTGGTGTTGGTCGGCTACGTACCATACCCCTTGTAAGGAAATCAATGCTCCACGGTGTGCATGACTTGCCCTGGTATAATCCGGAGGTGGGAGATCACAAACAAGCAAAGCGCAAAGCTTGGAGTCTGCAAGTTTGCATTGATGGTGGGTGAGTCACTCAGGCTCACCCCATCACCAACAAGCAAACCAGTTGTAGCGCGGTCTTTCGCAACGTTCACCGACTCACTCCTTCCAAATATTTCATTAGAAGTATATCAAAATTCTATCAAACTCCTGTCAGTCGTCCTTTCAAACTCTATTTACCCATACACTTCTGTTCTAGCTTTTATACGGTGATCCTGTCCCCAGGCATTCTGGGATTAGACTAAGGCCTCGTTCGGTTAGGGCATATCACGCCAGGAATCGTTCCGGTCAAAAAAATTCGTATATAAATTAAGCAACGAATCCGGCCAGGAATTCTTCCCGGTGTCTGTTCCCCGGGAAACGAACGGAGCCTAAAGCTCTTATAGGTGTTAAACTCCCGATCCTCCATCCTGATACTTAGGCGCAGATCTGATAGAGGGGAGGGCTTATCAAGTAACAATCATTATTGGTACGTATCCGCTCTGGATGCAACGAAACAAGCGAAAGACATGGGGAGCAATCTTTGCCGATACGAGCGTCCTTGGCCAGCTTATGCAGCCCCAGGTGGTGGCGGTGGCCAGGAGAACTGAACCTCATTGGGAACGACCGCTAGTGGAATGGACTAAATGCAATACTGACGGAGCCTTTTATGATCAGCAATGGAAAGGTGCAACATGTGCTGTCCTACGTGATTACACTGGGACTTTTGTTAGAGGCGGGACTAAGTGGTACGACCACCGCCTGGACGCACTAACTATGGAGGCGCTAGCATGCCGGGATGGCCTGGTCTTGGTGCTGCAGTCCGGGGCTCAGAGAATTTGGTTAGAAACGGACTGTCAGGATGTGCTGCGGCTATGGCAAGCAGGCATCAATCAGAGATCGAGCGTCCTGACAACCCTGGAGGAGATTGGGGGGGGTGCGATGAGTACTTTATTCCAAGAGTTTTTCTTTCGCTTCTCGAACTTGTAATAGAGTAGCTCATGCTTTAACAAAATAGGTCACCGGCGATACACGGATCGGGTGGTGGTCTATTGCCCCGACATGTGTTTCCGACCTGCTGTCCTCAGATTGTAATCCTGCTATCCTTGATCAAGGAAAAAAAAGACGGTGACCCTGTCCCTGACGGTTGTTGTTGGGATGAAACAGTAATTGCTCCGACTTGAACGAAGAGAAATCAGTGGCCCGGCCAATCCCACCGAGTAAGCCAGACCGCACACGGTGACAGTCCCCCACTGAACTTGGAAGCCGAGACCCGCGAGCGCTGAGTGCATTGCGTCATGCTCATGCGTGAGGCCCGGTGGTGCGGCTGCGTCGTCGTCAAGCAAGGCGCCATGGTCGCGTACTCGTGTATGCTTTGTTTTTGTTTATGTCTCTGATCTGTCCCTTTCTCAGCTCCAATTTGTAGGGAGCCAGTTTGTTTACTAGTAATTGAGAATATAATTATTGAACAGTTGCTTGGTGGCTGTGGCGCTATTTGTATCTGGCACGTACTAGTACTCTTTTTAAATTTCTGTTGGCAACCTCACAGGACTACATGACCACCGTGTGGCGAGATAGCCAAGAGTTGTTTATACTTCTGTATATAACAATAATATAGAGGAGGAATCGATATCTATCTTGTCTTCCACATTCTATCTTATCTAATTTGTTTATGTTCATTATTCTATGAATGACACTTTTGCTTGTTTTATCCTCCAACGAAGATAATGCTACCCTTCTACCCTTGCCACGTTCCTGAGATTGCTCGAACAAGTCCAGAAGCCCAACACAACACGAAGAAGCCCTCTCTCCCCTCCGCCTGCCCTTGAAACCAATCCACCGCCGCTCCTCGCCGCCACGCCGGCGGCCACCCGTGTGGCCGCGCCGAACTGCCCGCTTCCCGCTCTCGTCATTCATCACCTTCGCCTCGCGGCCCCGCGCTTATCAGCGAGGCAACAGCCGCCGCCTCCCGCCCCGTCGCGGAGCTATACGGGGAGGCCGGCATCCCCGCCGGCAGCCGCCGCCCGTTCCGAAGCTACCCAGCGCGGATTGATTTCTGTAATCTCTGAGGCGGAGAAGACCACCCCAAACAGTCCGGGAACCGATTGGGGCGCCGCCCGGCCGGCCGACGATGTCGTCGAGCAGGTTCTCGCCGGTGCTGCAGGCGTCCGATCTCAACGACTTCATCGCCCCATCGCAGAACTGCATCGTCTCCCTCAATAAGAACACCTCCCCCTCCCGCCGCCTCCAGGTACCGACACAGCTCTCTCCGCCATGTTTCGTTGTTAACCCTAGTATTTGTGTCCAGGGCGAGCCGTGCCCCCATGCGCTGGCTGAGTGCAGTTTGATGAGCTCACCAGCCATACTTGTTTCGAACCCTGAGATAGTGATGTGTGCGATCATATCACGAATGACAGAGATATAGGAAATGAAATTATTTTGCCTCCAGGTTTCTCATGTTGGTTTCTGTGCGATAAATAGGAAGGGAAATTTTGTGTTAGCTACAGTTGAACTCTTATTACATTTGTTTTTCCGAAATGTATCTAGATTCATAATTGTAGAATAAAATATATTTTTTCCAATGATGTCTTACCTGTTGCTCCAATTGGTAGGAACCATGACTTGTAATGAGTGGACATAGCATCTTCAGATGATCAGAAATTTCATGTCCATCTTCTCTCACGCACACACACAAAAAAAACATCATGTTCATTTTGTAATCAAAGGTGGTTCTCTGTAGGCATTAAGAATACCAAATACCTTGATCTCAAAGTTTTACGATGAAAGGATAGCCTAATACTATTTCCCCCTTCTGTACCAAACTTGAGCAGAATAACGCACCTACTTGTTACAGAATAGACTCCTGGCAGCATAGCTTCGCCTTAATTTGCATCTACGAAAAACGACCGTTTGTATGATTCAGGAAAGAAATTTCTAGCTTTATTTACTTTTATCAGAACAATTAGTATAAGTGTCACAGCCTACTGAATGAAACCTGCTGCATTTCCCAAGAACCTACAACTTTGAAAATGCTAAGGATATACCCATGTTCATTTCTGCTAACAATTAGCTTCACATCTGCATTGTTGGAACTTCATAAGTCAATTCATCATCTACAGCCTTTCAGCAAACTCTTGCCCATATTCCTGACACAGAAATTTTACAGAACAAGCAGAAAGAAACTACAGTGAGCTCAAAACCTCCAGAGGAAGCAGTCAAGATTTCACTAAAAGACTGTCTGGCATGCAGGTTTTTTCTTTTATTTTCTTTTTTACTCTTCCAAGTCAGTTGTGAATAAGTAACCTGATCAAGTTCAATCAAGGCTGACTGTTTCGTCTTTATCTTAGTGGTTGTATAACATCCGCAGAGACAGTTATGCTGGAGAAGCAAAGCTTGGGTGACTTCATTGATCGCATAAACTCTGATAAAGCTGTTATTGTATCTGTATCTCCCCAGTCAAGAGCATCACTAGCTGCATTCTTCGGTCTTTCTCAGTCACAGGTAATTACATGGGCTTGCCATATCCATTCCCCTGTCATCATCACCCTGGCAGATATGCTCTTACAAATGTTTCCCACGAGTTATTTATTAAAAAAAACTATTGCCAGGTTGCCCTTCAATTATGAGAACTAAAGCAGAATTTAACTCCTTTAAATTCAGGTTCTCAGAAAACTGACTGCTTTGTTCAAGTCGATTGGCGTAAAGGCCGTTTTTGACACAAGCTCGAGTCGAGATCTCTCTCTTATTGAAGCATGCAATGAATTTGTTTCACGTTATCAGAAAAATCAATCATCTAGTGGCCAAGAAGCTGGAGCCAATCTTCCAATGATTTCATCTGCATGCCCGGGTAAAATATTTGCTGGAACATGACATATGGATACTTACATAACGCAGTCTGGGTTTTAAAAATGCTGTAACCTTGCATGTATAATACTAATGGTTTATCACTACCTTTTTATGCATTTGCTTTAGAAACAAGTACACGATTTTTTCACAAAATATGTGTCACAGCCTCTTCCACTTGCAGGTTGGATATGCTATGCTGAAAAGACTCTTGGTTCATACATCCTACCATACATATCATCTGTAAAGAGCCCGCAACAGGCAATTGGTGCAGCCATTAAGCACCATGTGGTTGAGAAACTTGGTCTAAAGTGAGTATTTGTCTCTGCTCTAGATAGTGTTATCTTGAAATCAATTTTCATACAGACAAAAAAATTCTTTGCCTTCTAAGGTGCCGGCGATGCAACTTGGCATTACTGTCATATGTTTGCAAAAGTTATAATGCCATAAGTGATGTTTTATTTTTAATATGAATTAATAAACATGATTTATTGTATGAGTAATTCAAACTTCCCTAATAGGAAACCTACATGCTCCCACCAACTATTCTATTAATTTTTTGGTTTAAGAAACCTGTCATCAGTAAATGTTTTGTAAAAAATAGCAGTGGCTCACCGATGTAGGTCATCCTTCTCTTTCATACACTTAGAGCCAGCGACTGAGTCCACTTCAGTTTACCCAATAACCTGTATAGATGTGCCTCAAGCTCTCAACAATCATGGAAGTTTGTATTACTGATGTATTCTAATTTGCTGAAGGCTAAAAAATTACCAGTCTTTATAATACTGTTACTTTCTACTTTTCTAGTATTTGACTTTAGTTGTAACCTCCTTTTTTTGGGGTATGTAGGCCGTATGATGTATATCATGTCACTGTGATGCCCTGCTACGACAAGAAGCTAGAGGCTGTCCGGGATGATTTCACTTTCTCAGTAGACGGTAAAGAAGTCACAGAGGTGGATTCAGTACTGACAACTGGTGAAGTATTAGACTTGATACAGGTTGCTACTTGGTTCTTTTTCTTACTTGTACTATGGTTGATGGATTTGAAAAACAAGGGAGACACTTATTATGATTTGCATATTTCTGCAGTCCAAATCTATTGATTTCAAGACACTAGAGGAATCTTCATTGGACAGACTGTAAGGCCATGTGCTTGGTGTTTCATTCTGCGTCTATACTCATTTATCTTCTCAAGTACAGGACTATTAAGTAGTTATAATCTGTTTGACTGCTACTTCTGTCTTCAAATTTTAGCTATTTTTATTCCAACCACCTGTTCTGAAAAGAAATCCATGTAATGATCATTTACTGTCTGTATATTATCCGAATATACCATTGTTCGTTTTATCAGTTTTGATTAAGTTATCTCAGAGCTGACATGTATTTTTTCTTTACTATAACCCAGGTTGACAAATGTTGATGACGAAGGCCATCTATATGGGGTTTCTGGAGGTTCTGGAGGCTATGCAGAAACGGTCTTTCGCTATGCAGCACATGTCATCTACAAGAGAGAAATAGAGGGTCCTCTTGACTTTAGAATCTTGCGAAATTCAGATTTTCGTGAAATTACATTGGAGGTAAACTCATTCCCTTGATGATCGTGGAAAACCAGTAATTATTTTACCTAGCTGGAGTGAATGTGTGTATAACAATTAGCAAATGCTGCATGTGCTAGCAGGTGGAGGGCAAACCTGTTTTGAAGTTTGCACTTTGTTATGGATTCAGGAACCTGCAGAATGTTGTTAGGAAGATTAAGATGGGAAAATGTGAATACCACTTTATCGAAGTTATGGCGTGCCCTTCAGGTACTTCGTTATGACATGTCTTTGCATGATAGTTGTAAGTTTCAATAAACAAGTTCTAAAATGTAGGATCTGGCTCTATGATGCATTTATTAGTTATTACTGTTCTGCAGGTTGTCTGAACGGGGGAGGTCAATTAAAGCCTGTTCAAGGCCAATCTGCCAAGGAACTTATCCAGCAATTGGAGACTGTGTACACACAAGATGTAAGCTTCTAATTGAAATCCAACATTTCTTGTACCACCCTCTGTCCTTAATTATAGGTCGTTTTGGCTTTTCTAGGTACATAGCTTTTGCTTTGCACCTAGATATACGTTATGTCTAGATACATAATAAAAGTCATGTAGCTAGAAAAGCCAAAACGGCCTATAAATTGGAACGGAGGGAGTAGTTTATAAGGCAACTTGCTTATCATTGTGGTGCATCTTCGTCCTGACCTCACTTCGAATCATCCACATTCATGTAGGGCGTGGAGTTATAGACATTTTAGTTGATGCACCGTAGTCATCACTTGAAATGTTTTCATATTTATTAGGTATAGATCTTGTGATTTTATTATATTCTCTTCTACGCTTGTAGCTTAGTGTACTTTTGTTTGCTTTGGTTGCTGCTTCTTTGTATAATGTTGCTAGCTTGCTACCCAGATTTTACTCGTACTGTAATTTTGCCTCTTTCAATAGAGGAAAAGTAAAACCATCTGTTCAATTGTCAGAGCTGCTATTCCATCTCTAGGAGCTTTGCTGAGCTGAACAATATATGATATTCCATGTTATTTAGCCTTCAAATTTTTCTTTTGATGGGATGCTATTTATCCTCTAATTTGTTTCCATAGTTTTATCCTCACAAGTGGGAAATATGCTATAACTGCAGAGTGTTTTCTTCCCTGTAATTTGGTAAAGAGTCCTACATGAATTGTGTACCTTATGCGGGTTATTATGTTCTTCCACTAATTGTGTATCTTATGTACCAGATATCAATATCCGATCCTTTAAGTAACCCTATCGCGAAAAAACTATATGACGAATGGCTGGGGCAACCTGGTTCAGAGAATGCAACGAAGTATTTGCACACAGAATATCACCCAGTGGTGAAGAGTGTGGCCTCACAGTTACAGAACTGGTGATAGAGGTTTCTTGTTGCACCAGGAATTTCTATGTTCTTCAAGAGCCAAGAGGGACTTGCAAACAGAGCAAACATGGCGACCTGTCCATGCTAAGAAAATATTGACCACACAGTAATTAAAACTTGCTCAAGTGTTTTTTTTTGGCATTACAGGGAAGAAGTTTTGTTAAGCTATAGGTTTTCAGTGCTTTCTAGTTAATGTTGTACGCTGCCAAAGGGAAACGAGAGCTAAATTGCAATGTGTAAAATGAACGAAGTAGGTCTTGACGACCTTTTCATTGTTTGGTACTCGTCCGTTGGCGCAATTCTTGTTTTTTTTTTAAATGAAGAATATGTGAGCTTCGTTGGTTACCCTTATCTGTATTTAAATGCTCGCGAATAGTAAGGGAATGAAAAACATACTCCGGCTGATCTCTAATCTTATACTCTTATAAAACAAAACCCTAATAGTTATTTCTCTCAAACATAAAGCTCTCCAACTAGACAATGCCCTATCATATACAATGAACATCCATTAAGTAAAATTCTACTAGCTATTTATCTCAATATGTAAGTTGTTCAACTGGGCAATGCACTATCACGTACAATTAAAAATCACTAGTACATGCAACTGTAATGTCCATGTCAGCAAGACACATAGTATTTTATTATCGACGTCATCATACCACGTAATCCACTAATCTATAATTTTCGCAGCAACGCGCGGGGTAGTCCACTAGTGTAGTATATTTTAGAGATTTAAGACAGATTAAAAGACAACACAAAAATACACGTGCTTTTACTTTGTTTTTTAATTAGATATATTATTATATAATTAATGATGATTGGTTAATAAATGATACTTCCTCTAGGTCTCGAAAACATCATGTTTGGGACATCACCTCAAATACCAAAGAGTGTGTAATTAGGGTGCCTACTTCCTGCTTTGCTCATATTAAATAGGCTATGGTTAGTAGATAGAAACAGAATTACCTCTCCGCTCACCTGGTAAGGGCACTACTTTTCAAGCTGGTGAGCCGAGTTCGACTCTTGACAGTCAGTTTTTTTGCTGCGCGATTTTGTTATCTTGCCTGATTTTCTTGGAGTCTGAAACGTGCGTGCTGTTAATGCAGTCCATGCGCGGTTAACGGGCAGCCAGGGTTAGTTTCGTCTAAACTGACGCCACAACGACAAACGGTTAACGGGCAGCCAGGGTTACTTTCGTCAGCCAGGGTTAGTTTCGTCTAAACTGACGCCACAACGACAAACGGTTAACGGGCAGCCAGGGTTACTTTCGTCTAAACTGACGCCACAACGACAAAGCCCTGGTCGCTTGTCCTGTAATCTGTCCTTTTCAACTTGTTTTTTTAGTCGAAATAGTGTTTTTCTCTCACAACAAATCAGTCGGAACAGTGTTTCGACTTGTTTTTTCAGCGAAGTGAACGGTGCCTTACGTTTTTAGATCTGGAGGGAGTAAACATTTAATGTAAAACTGTTTTCTATCTCCTAGATCTTACATTTGTGATATAATTTTAAATGTTTGTTATGGATGGAGGCGTTAAAAACCACAATTCATATTCTTAATCGAGTGCCAAGTAAGTCGGTGTCCAAAACATCATATGAGTTGTGGACAGAAAAGAAACCCTCACTTAACTATTTACGTGTGTGAGGTTGTCCAGCTGAGGCTAAAGTCTTTAATTCAAACATAGGTAAGCTAGACTCCAAGACAGTCAATTGTCATTTCATTGGCTATCCAGAAAAGTCAAAAGATTATCGCTTCTATTGTCCTGACAGACATACGAAGTTTGTAGAAACGAGACACGCTGTGTTCTTAGAAGATGATATGGTCAATGGGAGCATGGTAGCGCGAGAAATTAATTTTGAAGAGAAGCGGGTATACGTGCCCACTCTGATGGTTCAGGAACCATTCTTCACGCTACCTGTTGTTGCTATACCAACAGTGCATGACACTGTAGTAACAGCATCTGTTGTTAGTTCTCCTGTGGCAACATTGAATGAACATGAGAAACCTATCGTTCAGGATCTTATAGAACCCGTTATCACACATGAGTAAGAGCAACAACAACCTCATATAGAACAAGCGTCAACTAACGAGGCCCCTAAAAGGTCTCAAAGAGTCAGGAAACCGGCCATTCCTTATGACTACGAAGTCTATAAATGTGAATAATTTCAAATGGAGGGTGATCCCACCTCATTTGAAGAAGTCATGAGAAGCGCTCACTCATCAAAATGGCTTGAGGTCATGTAGGATGTGTAGGATCTCTGGTACGCCTAGAGGGGGATGAATAGGCCTGTAACAATTCAACTCAAACCGAAGTTAAATTCACCAGCGGCACTGCCGCTCTTTGAGCACGGCATTGCCGCACCTACAAGAGAGATTAGTTCACAGTTCAAAATCTACCCAATGAAATTTAGATCGAGTAAATTTCTTAGCTTCCTACAGGGTGGTAGATCACAGATCGACAGCTGAAAGTGGTGGGAACACCACACACAAATAGATCGACCTCAATCCTAGAAATCATCTCAACAACAACAAGAACACAAGTGTAGCAACACAAGCACAAGATGACACAAGGATTGTTTAAGTCCATGTTGTTGAGGCATACCACTCAGGCTTAGGGATTTGCAACCCTACCTCGTTCTCAAGTCAAGAGAGTAAACTCTTGAGATGAGAGGTGATTTTACTTGCTGCAAGAGGTGGTTACAAACCGCCCGAGGCTACCACACAAGTTGGCAAGCTCATCGGGCGACGCTCTAGCCAGCTAGGAGCCAAGCTCCAAGAGTAACAAACACAACCGTCGGACACCAAGTGCATCTAGATGCAAACACTCAAGCAATGCACTTGGATTCACTCTCAATCTCACAAAGATGTTCAATCAATGATGAAGATGAGTGGGAGGGCTTTAGCTAAGCTCACAAGGTTGCTATGTCATTGCAAATGACCAAGAGAGTGAGCTAGAGCTAGTCAAATGGTATTTATAGACACCCCCAAACAATAGAGCCGTTGGCTGAATTATTGGTCTGACTGCGCCTCGACCGGATGCGTAGGTCGTATGCACCGGACGCATCCGGTCGCCTACGTTCGGTCGCTGCCTGACCGCAATGTGTCCTATTCAAACGAAGTAGCCATTGCTGCCACGACTACCACACTCAACTACGACCGGACGCGTTTGGTGTGGACGACCGGACGCAGGAGGGGCAGCGTCCGGTCGAGTCTAAAGAGCTCCTAGAGCTGCTATGGGCCGACCAGACGCGTCTGGTGACACCGGACCGGATGCAGGAGACTCAGCGTCTGGTCGAGTCCAGAGAGCTCCTAGAGCCGCTCTGGGCCGACTGGACGTGTCCGGTCACACCAGACCGGACACTCCCAGAGTCCGATCAATTTTAGCGCTGACACCCGAGAGTTGCTGGTTCACACCGGAATGTGGCAACCGAACGCGTCCGGTCACTTCTCTGCAAACCTGAACCAAGCAAACTCACATTGATCGGACGCTGAACAATGACTTAGCGTTCAGTCGCTCCACTGAGCCAGAGTCCGATCATTAATACCGGACGCGTCCAGTCACTCTGTAACCAGCGCGACCAACTCCTTTTCAACTCTATCTTCTTTACCCTTGCTCAAATGTGCCAACCACCAAGTATATCACCTTGTGCACATGTGTTAGCATATTTTCACAAAATATTTTCAAGGGTGTTAGCACTCCACTAGATCATAAATGCATATGCAATGAGTTAGAGCATCTTGTGGCACTTTGATAACCATATTTCGATACGAGTTTCACCCCTCTTAATAGTACGGCTATCGAACCTAAATGTGATCACACTCACTAAGTATCTTGATCACTGAAACAAAATGGCTCCTACCACTTATACCTTTGCCTTGAGCTATTTGTTTTTCTTTCTCCTTTTTCAAGTCCAAGCAATTTATCATCACCATGCCATCACCATCATCATGTCATGATCTTTATTTGCTTCATTACTTGGAGTAGTGTTACCTATCTCATAATCACTTTGATAAACTAGATTAGCACTAAGGGTTTCATTAATTTACCAAAACCAAACTAGAGCTTTCAATCTTCCCCTTTTTGATAATTGATGATAACCCTTTTACAAAGATATGAATTGAAATTTTATTGAATCCATGTTGTTTGTCCAAGCATATTTACCATGTGTAAAAGGATATGGATAAGTTTCATGAATCCCATATGGTAGCAATTGCTCCTCCTACATATGTGCTAAGAGTTTGGATTGTATCTTGCATATATGCTTAGATAGGAAATATAGGAGACAATGTCTACCAAATGACGCTAAGGTATAAAAGATGGACCTTTGAAGCGTGATACCAATCGAAGTGCACCAATATACTATCCTCAGCACCATTAGTAACTAGACATATACAAAAACTAGAATACCCCATGAGATCAAAATTAGAAGTAAGGGCCTAGTTTTCATGATGTGAGTATGAGTCTAGTTACTTAACCTATGCATACTAGTTTTTTTTATTTCATCATTCAAACCTACAACTAGCATACACCACACAAGCATGGATATTAAAATTTAAAACTTGTGCCATGCAAGCAAACATATGAGATGCATATTCAAATGCACCATACAAGTTCATGGGCTTGCTCCCCCTACTTGTGTGCTCAAAATTTTAATTGATCACTTTCCTTTATCATATCTCTCCCCCTATGTCAAATTCTTCTCCTATCACTTATATCTTTATTCCTTTCCCCATTTGTTGTCTTTTCACTATCTTAGTACACTATTTCTCCCCTTAACACTAATATCTTTATTTTTTTCTCTCTCTTTATTATCAATGACCACAAAGGTTTAAAATGTAGATAGGTTGAGATTATCAATGTCAATCAATAGGGTGAGGATTATTTTTCCAAATTTGGTCCAATCTAGATCATTTGCCAAAGATATTTAACTCAGTTTGATCTAAGGACAAGCTTTTTCATACCTCCAAATAAGGGTTATCTTGTACCATGTTGAGTT